TGCTGCAGCAACAGATCAAAACGCCTTACCAAGTCTTGTACGCCTCCTTCCAGGGATGTGATCTTCGACAGTCCAGCTGTTATCTCATCACGCAAGCCATCCACTTCAGAATGCAGAGAAGTCAAGCGTTCTTCGAAGCCCTCCACCTGCGATGCCACTTCCTTAACTGTCACCATGGCCGAGGAAAGACACGCTCTGATACCACTGATATGTCCCAGAAATTTGACACGCAGTTCTCAGACTCACAGCAGAATCCAAACCACTAGTACCTCAACAGGGAACTGATATTCATTCAGAAGAAAAGAGACCGCCGGCTCTCCCAAGCACTCTCAGAATTCTGTACTCAGCAAAAGTCTGCCTTCTCCATCCCCCAAAGCCCCTTCTTATACACATCTTACAGCCTAACTGCCTTCCATAATAAATGCCCAGCTGGCCGAAATATAAATGCCTCACTCTTCAGGCTATAAATGCTAAATGCCCTATACTCTTCCTATTCTCAACTGACAAGCTATAAATGCCACAAAAACTCTCCTTATTCCCTCCAGCCATAAATTCCCCCATGTTCAATTATTCCCCCCCCTGGCCGCCAGCTGATCTTTCCCCTTCCTGGTGTATGTAAAATTAATTGGGGGCCTATCATATTTGCATTCCCATACTTTTGCACCAGTGCAAATGAAAATGGTTTTGCAAATAAATGAGGCCTTATAAAGTTTCTTAGTTATTGTAAATTAAGAGATAATTCAATGTAACCATTTTGGTACCTTGGTTGAATAATTCATAACAAGGGAGAGGTTGAGGAGGATGTCACCCATAGGATTAGAGCATGATGGGCAAAATGGAGGGCTGCATCTGGAGTCTTATGTGATAGACGAATATGGCTTAGATTACAAAGGAAATTTTATAAAACAGTTTAAAGTCAGTTATTCTATATGGAGCAGAGTGTTAGGCAGTCAAGAAACAACATGTTCAGAAAATGAGTTTGGGAGAAATGCACGAGATGAACGAGTAGAAAAACTAGAAAGGATAAAATTAGAGAAAGTAGACTAAGATGGTGTAGTCACGTTTACAGAAGACAATTGACAGCAACCTTAAGAAGAAGTGATCTGTTGCAAGTTGAAGGAGCTAGAAGGGCTAGGGGTAGATAAAAAAGGGCATAGGTCAGAGTAGTAAGAAATGATTTAAGCATTCAGAATTTAACAATGGATTGACATTAAACAGAACGGAATAGTGAAACAGGGTTAACAGAAATCAACCATTTCTTTTGTTGATTTGGTTTCCAAAATTGTATAACTCAATAGAACTTTAACCCTAATACCTGTTCTCACTCACCAGATTTCAAAGAAGCCACTTCCAACACAGAATCAAAAGACATGTCAATGTGCCAATATCCTCCTTTCTACCCTTAGTGTCCTTCATGCCCTTTCTACTTCCTAGTCTCCTATTGATCCACCATCAGAACAAGGAGGAAAATCTTTTCACAGTATATGCCTTTGTCTGCCATTTCTGGGGGCTGGTTAGCAAGGGATCAAGGTTTATGAGGATGCCTCATTGTAATGTGTTATGGCAAGTTAAATTGTGGTGCTGGATTTTTGCTCTTCTTATCCTGGCTTAGTGTGAAAATAATGCATAGATAGTATGCTCTTTTCATTGGTTTAGCCAAGGATTTGCTTTAGGCATATTGTACGAACTTGATTAGGCCTGAGTACATCCTTTACCTTGGAATGTCTAATATCATATAGGAACAAGTATATGTAAATAATACTTATATAGAAACATTGTGTACATTAAACTGGGCATATTTTTTGATGAGCATTAATGATGGATGAATACATAGCATATGAAAGGTTTTTCGGGTGCATTTCTGATTACTTGTCCTTATGAGAAAAAATGGTGAATTATGGTCACAAGGCACACACAAATTGGAGGCTTGTGGAACATGCCAATCTCTTTCCAACCAGGGTTCCCTTGGCAAAGTGTGTCATATCTCAGGCATGTTCTATAACACCATATTTGCAAGTCTTGGCACAATAAATGCTCAAAATTTTCATATATCAGCTCATGTACATCGGGAATATACCAGTGTATCTTAATTAGAATTGTTTACAAAAAGCATTCAAGTATCACAAAAAAGAAAAAAAAACTGTAAGGCACCCCCTGAAATGGTTTTTGGATCACTGGCCATTAGCAAAGCAAGCCCTTCGTTTCTCTGATTTTGGTAAGCAGCCATACACCTCTAGATATGGAAGGACTGATGCCCGCAATTTATATGAGAATTTGTAGTAAATGAACATGTGGTTGGACGATTCTGTACAGTCTGTGCAGAGAACACAAACTGATTCCCTATCATCACCACTATCATTTTATTTTAACCTTTGGAATTGGGTATGGTAAATTTAGTGAGCTTCTATCTCACTCCTTTCCCACCTTTATTTTTTATTTTTATTTTTAGGCGAACGCGTGCTGTTTTTGACATAGCACTAAAGGTTCACCGCAACATACAAGAAAGAGATATAGAAGTTGGTAGGAATGTGGGAAACTGGATCCTTAGGTGGCTTGATAGGATGAAACCATCAGCTAATATCCGTGGTGATCCACCTCCGCCTCCCAGTGGTGGCAACGGCAACATGACCAAGCATGTGACAAACACCTCCTCCGGCAGGCAACCTCAGGGACCAGTCCAAAGATCCAGTGGAGAAAATGGAAATCGGGGAATTAATGGACGAGTATCTGCTTCATCAATGAACATAATATGGCGAAAATCTTTCCCTACTCTGGGAACGATGATGTTTCCAGCAAAACCAGTTGGCACCAATGTCCAATACAGGCACTTGTTCTTCTGTGGGCCTGAGATGCAGAGTCAGAGATTGAACTGTGCAAAAGGTAGTGGATTTGAGGGAGTAATCCGAAAAGATATACTGCAGTGGATGCTGCCAAATTGATGGCAGAACGGAGCTTTATTTGCAAGAGGTTTCCTTTTCCTTGTTTTGTGTATTTTTCTTTTATTATTATTATCTTTTTTCCACTAGGAATAAACTTTTAAAGTAGCTTTACATTAAATTTGGCATTAAGGTTGTGAAGCAAATAAATAAATAAAGAAAAGCTTTATTGTAAATTTGTAAATTGAACATTGGACTGGCAATTGTGCTGAACTGCCTGGTCTGATTGATGAATGATGATGGGTCGACCAACTCTCAGAATTGGAGACTTCGGGGGCACATTACAACTGCTATCTTACAAACGTCTGTAGAACGAAGGGATGACTCAAACTCAATGCATTTTAATATTAAGATAGGTAATGTGCTTAGACCTCTCAGGCTCAGAATTGACCATTTGTTATCATGCAATGGAATCTTTCCATTATAGAGATTCCCTCCTAATGTTTCGAATTTCGAAAAAAAAAAGCGTTACAATGTATTTCCCGTATTCATTTTCTGATTGTCTAATAATACTGTACTCCATATTACATTGTTAGCTTTCTATTGTTTTATAAAATTTTCTTTAGCTTTAAGTAGATTGTCTCACCACATAGCATGATAGCACTTCAGATTTACTTTCCATTCTTCTTATCCTGCTCCAATTATATGGGTTACATCTTTTTTTTTTTTTTTGTAATTTCTCTTTTGTCATGAATTACCAACCAAAACTAAAGAATGAGGTTACAATTAGTTGCTTCTTTATCTCCAAGTCTTACTCTTGTTATCATCGAAGCGGGTAATTTACAAACACTCTGTACTTAGGGGTCATGGCACACACCTAATCCGTTGTGTATCATTCTGCAACAAAGATCTTATATTTCTAGACTCCAGCACTTACCCATTGCTATTACCTTTCCTTAAATTAACCATGTGGAATATTGCACTTGGTAACCGCTAGCTACTTGTGGCGGAGACTTGAGATCAAATCCCTTTGCCACCACCATGATTGGGGTTTGCTACCCCCTGTTGTGAAACCCTATGAGCTACGAAACCCCCCTAAAAAAAGTATGGAATATTGCAATTAGATTGTCATGTGCAGGTTTATACATTTTTAGAACCCTAAATTGTTCTTGCAGCATAGATTTTTAGAACCCCGCTAGATACTTGCACCTAACCCCTTGGGAGAACCCTAAATTCTCCCTCTCCCTGATCATTGCATTTGGTCTCTTACCTCCACTGGAACCTTTTCCACTTTAATTTGGCCATCGCATCTAACACTAATGCAAATCCTTTCCTTTCCTTGAGAGAAGACTAGCTTTTGTCGATTTCACCTAGAGTGTTCTTTTTGTTTGGGTAGCTTTATGTAGGTGAACCAAAAATTTTTGACAATAAAGTAGCTTCCTTTTAAGCATTGGTGGTGGTGGTGGTGGTGGGGGTGCTACCCAACATTAATTCTTGGATCTGGCCACCAAGAAACATAGAGATATTTCTGCAATGGCCTTAGAAAAAGGAACTACCTAACATTCTGCTATTCCCCCATCGAAGTAGAAGAGAAAAAACATATCACTTCCCAGGATTAGGGTTTTCTCACCACTCACCTTACAACTAACAACGATCCAGCACCGGACGTGGGAGGGAGAGAATTGGAATAAAGAGTACAACGGTCGCGGTAATTCTTACAGGATGAAATAAGACAGATGAATCTCGTTGCGAATACAGAAGATCTCTCACTTATCAAAGGAATTAATAATATGGTACAACCACATCAGGATAAAACCGTAGGACATTTCATGGTTTACACCAGGACCGTTGATCTCTTTCAGCCCCAACAACGTCTCATTACCTATTATCAGTTTGGCCCACCCCGAAGTGCTAAACTTAAAGAGGCTTAGATGGTTGAGAGAGTTACTGTAAAATGGGCCAGAGTTGTCAATGGGTCGGGTCTGGTTCAAGATAGCGTGTAGATTGTACAAGTTCAAAAACCATAATTTCTACATGAATCAGTTTATAAAATACTAGCAGAAAGGGCACGGGCTACACACGTGTATATATATAATTATTAATGTGAAAGATAATTTCTTAAAATAAAATCAATAAGTCACAATGTAGTGGTTTTATGATGACACCAAGTATTGTCCGATATGCTTTTTCTGATCTATATTTAATTATTATTTTAATTTTTTTAGGAAAAAATTTCGTTTATTACAACTCTGTACTTTTGGCCTAGTGCTACTTTGATTCCAAACTTTAAAATATGATAATTCAGTACCCAAACTTTAAAAATGTATCAATTCTGTACTTGTCATTAACTAGTTCGTTAATCAGCTATTAATTGGCATTTGAAAAGACATAAATATCCTTCGAGTGTCATCTAATTCTCTTTATCAACTATTCAAACTTGACAAAAAAACAATACAGTCCAAAATTCTTATATTTTCTATTCAAGAAAGTTGGGGTCATGTCTCAATGGGCATTCTGGTGACCCAACTTTTTTAATAGAAGATGCAAAGATTTGGGACTGATGATTTTTTATCAATGTTTGGATGGTTGATAAAGAAAATTAGATGACACTCAAATGGCATTTATGTCTTTTCAAATGCTACTTAACAGCTTGTTAATGGCAGGTACTGGATTGACACTTTTTGAAAGTTTGAGTGTTGAATTATTGCATTTTAAGGTTTAGGGACCAAAGTGTCATTAATCCCAAAGTACAGGGTACTAATCGGGATTTTCCCTTTGTTAATTGAAAAAAGATGCAGAAGACAAAAGCTTATTCTAACATGCTCTGCCAAAATAGTTTACCTTGGACAGTTGGACTACGTTTGGAAAATATCAGCATTTCCTTGAAAATCTTTGCCTCAAAAAATTTCAGTTACATTGCCTCCATATTACACGTAAACAACCTCAGCTAATAACAATGCAGTTTAAAGGAGGGTGTTCGCCTATGTGAATGAATGGTTTTAGTTTTTACAAAATGAAATTATTAAGGATCGGGAAACAAAGTCTATCAATATTACACAGATTTAGTCTTCATAAAATCTGTCCTCACACCATCTTTACAGCCTTTGAATTAGGGATGTTCATGTGAATCGCATAATCCTAGTCTGAAGGGTTTTTATTTTGGATCTTGGGATTTCAATTTAAATAACAAAGTTTTTGATGAGGGGTAATCTGGTCCTCCCAATCGCATAGAGACACGTGGCCTCCGACTGACACGTTGACGCTGAATCAGCAGGCCGGCTCAAAAAGTTGGCTCGAAGCACCTCGCCCAAGTTGGTTGACCTTCGTCTCGGCAAGGCCGAACTGATAGATCTTGTAAGATTACGACGACCTGCCTTAGGAGTTGGCTGAGCTGAGAGGACCTAAGGCGACCTATGGAGAAGAGCTCGCCAACTGTTCCTGGCAGCACGCTACCAGGAGCGTTGAGGTCTCGACCGTTATAACAGCCCGCCGTGCCGCATGCCTCGACCTCGCTCGGGAATCATAACCTCCGTGAGGATCTCGCAACTAACAAATTAACACGCTAGGCAAAACGGAAACAGCTTCGCAAAGAGCTCAAACCCGTTACCAAGAAGACCTTGAGTGCTGGTGCCTATAAAAGGCACCAGTCTCCACTCTGAAGAAGCCCTGGGATCAAGGTCCGAGCTGTTCGGGAAGAAAAAGCGAACAGAGGAAGAAGCAAGTAGCAGCAAGACCAAGAGGAGAAGCAAGTCACCAAAGAGTAGATGCAACAACTCGCCGTGAAGGAAGAGCAAGTCACCAACTAGGGGTTCAAGCAAGCGATCAGGGACCCCATCTTTGTACACCAGAACCTCCACTCCCTAAATGCAAAAAGGGGGGAAATGTTAATGCAAATAAAATCTAACAATTATGTAAAGTGGCCGCTTAGGATGAGAGGCGGCCCAACTACCAGAAATCCTAACAAATAATGCCACTTCCACAGGGATGTTGACCATGATATAGAGAATTGTTGAAATCCCAAGAATGAAATTGAAGACCTCATCAAAAGATGATACCTGAGGCAATTCATCAAGGACGAGCAACGACCCGAAGAAGAGTCGAGCAGGGATGCACCCCAAGCCAGCAGGGAGCAGGAAGTGGCTCCCAGAAATCAACAGCAGCAAGAGACACCTGTCCTGGGGACCATTAACATGATCACCGGGGGGTCAATCATCGCCGGATGCACCACCTCGACAAGCAAGAATCCAGTCAGAGAGTTGGAGAAAGAGGATAACAATCCGTTGAAGCGTCCCAAAAGAGAAGAGGTAAACTATTTTACCGAGGACGACATGAGCAGGATCCAATACCCACATGACAATGCCTTAGTAGTTAGGTTACTCATCAATGATTTTAGGGTGAAGAGAATTCTTGTTGACTCTGACAGCTCGGCTAACATCTTATTTTTGGAGGCCTTTGAGCGCATGGAGCTCGGCAAGGCAGATTTACAACCTGCCGATATTCCCCTGATAGGCTTTAGTGGAGAAGTAGTTCGGCCCGTTGGCAAGGTAAGAGTTCTAGTCGAGGTGGGCTCTCCTCATACAATGTGGTTTGAGCATGACTTTCTAGTAGTCACCACCCCGTCTCCATATAATGCGATATTAGGCCGACCTATCTTACATACCCTCTGAACTGTGGAAATGGGATCGGCTACGAACATAGCGTGCTCCACTGCCCATCTCCTCCATGCATTGGAAATATCTCCTCATCACAAGCCAGTTTGAGTTGGGCTTCAGTTAGGGCAAAGCCCGTTTGAATAGTCTTTACAGCCTTGTATTAAGAATACCTCCATACTTGTGTGATTTATTTTATGAAGAGATATTGTGCATGGAGGGGATGGGTTGTTGGGTGTTTGTGGGGCACGCTTTGTAGGAAGCCAATCCCGATCACATATGTTATTGACCAACATCTCAACAAAAGACCTTACCACTTGAGACAATTTTTTTCTTTTTTTGATAACTAAAGAAAATACATTAAATGACCAGAATAAAGTTTGGTACAGGAGGTAACCAAGAAGGAGAGTAGTTCATACCTACAGACACAACATTTTTTGAATATTGACAGACATTAGTCACATTACCAAGTGAGTCGGTTGGAACCATCAAATATTTATGGAAAAGCTTTGATTGTTTGGGAAACTTAGCGTTGACTGTTTGGAAGCTTACTATGCAATATGCATGATATACGTTCCCATGAGTGTCAGGCAGAAGAGTATTTGCAACCAATTTTCTTTTAACCAAGAAGACAAACAAGAAATTGAATGGGATAATGTGATGTCATGTGCAAGAAGCTTCTTGATGATGCACAATCC